AGTTTTCTGTTTCTCATGAATCGATGTCTAGCGTTGTAGATGAGATGACTGCTCCTAAACTGAGGTTTGGATTCAGAAGTCGAGGATCTCTCTGCATGGCAATATCCATTCACCGATTTTAATGCGTTGGAGCGAATAGTGGTAGATTGTTAAGATGGTGCTCTTTGTGCTATTACTGCTTAATGTCTCTTGTCAGTAGTGATACATGTTGTCACTTTACCTTTGTTTTAGAGTAATCTGTTAGTTTTCCTTTTTTTTTTTGCTTGCTTTTTTAGTGAGTAGTCTTCTTTGGCGGTAGCTCAGCATCCTTCTGGTTCTCATTGCTTGTATCATTTGTCGAGTGTACCTAGAAAGCTCTCGGAGGTCAGAGCTTCCCTTTGATTTGACTAGTGGAAATTATGTGTCCTTTATTATCTAATACTTACTGAAAAATGCATTTATCTCTTTCCTGCGCTTTTGGTACTTGGTAGTGTGTTCTTTATATAAATGCACTTGACAGATGTCATGAGAAATCACTTCATGGTTTGGAGAGTGCATATGCAAGGGAGTGAATATACTTTCATGTATTGATGGAACTGAAATTGCGGTGAATGAGGATCTTACCTGAATCTGAATTCAATTTTACCGAGCCATTTCATTTGGGAGATTATGTTGGGCCAAAAAGACTTAAGGGGATAATGTAGCTTGGCTAATCTTTTATTTAACATCTTGCTCTCTTACTATTTTCTCTCATGTACAATTGACCATGTCTGTTTCTAATTTTGAACGCAACATGTCTGTTTCTAATTGCTCTTCCTTTTTCTTGTAGAACGCATCGCATCCAGTGAATTGGCCAGAGTAGAACCACTATCATCCACACTAGCTGCCACATCTTCTGTTGGCACACGAGTGCCAATGCAGAGACCTGATTCTGGAGGTTCCTTATCTCAAGCAAAGGTCAAACTTTTGGTGAATCACTTCATTGTCAACTACCGAGAGGTGACAACTATTTTTCACTACGACATAAACATCAAGCTTGATGAAGCTTCCTCCAAGGCTTCAGGCAAAGAACTCTCCAAGGCAGAATTTCTTTCTGTCAAGGATGAACTCTTCAGGGAAAGCAGTTTACGGCGTCTTTCCTCATGTGTTGCTTATGATGGCGGAAGAAATCTCTACACTTCTGCTGAACTGCCAGCAGGTTTATTTCGTGTGAGAGTTCGATCAAAGACCTACATTGTATCAGTAGATTTGAAGAAGCAGCTGCCATTAAGTCAACTCTCAGAGTTACCTGTGCCTAGAGAGGTCTTGCAGGGTCTTGATGTTGTTGTGCGTGAGGCCTCCAGATGGCGCAAGATTATCCTTGGTAGAGGATTTTACTCACCAAGCAGCAGTATAGACATCGGAAAGGGTGTTGTAGCTATGAAAGGAACCCAGCAGACCCTTAAATACACTCAGCAAGGGCTGATCCTATGTGTTGACTATTCAGTTATGCCATTTTACAAAGCTGGGCCGGTGATGGATATTGTTGAGAAATTAGTGGGACGCCTTGATTACCGGACAACACTGAACAGGAGGCAACTGGAAAATCTGGTTGATGAGCTTAAAGGCCGACGTGTGACTGTGATTCATCGGAGGACCAATCAGAAGTACACCGTGCAAGGCTTGACACCCTTACCTGCCAGCCAGATGACCTTTGTGGATGCTGAATCTGGCCAAACGAAGAGGCTTGTGGATTATTATGCTCAGAAACATGGCAAGGTGATTGAGTACCAGATGCTTCCATGCTTGGATTTGAGCAAGAGCAAGGACAAACCGAATCATGTGCCAATTGAGCTCTGCACTCTTCTTGAAGGACAGAGGTTTCCAAAAGCAAACTTGGATAAGAATTCTGACAGGATACTGAAAGGGAAGGCTCTAATACCTGCATCTAATCGGAGGAACGAGATTCTAGACTTGGTGAATGCTTCGGATGGACCTTGCAGGTAACTAACTGTTTTTCCATGGGTTCTCCTATCAACCTGAAAAGTTGAGCTACTGCTATATAGCTATACTTTAGCTGTCACTGTGAAATTAGATGCAATGTGATTGCCCGTTCCTCATACTCAATTTAACTTATATATATATACACATACTATTAGTTCTCTTATTTATTCCTACCATTTTTTTTCTCCTGCAAATGCACAGCAACGTAACTTTGAGCTGTTCTACATCTCTTTTCTAGGATAGCAAACAAACTGATCATTACCTTTTCTTTTCAACAGAATATGCAACGTTTATTACTAGCTACTAATTATCATTTCATTTACAGCGGAGAAATTGCACAGCAATTTGGGATTTCCTTGGATGTACGAATGACAGAAGTCACGGGTAGGATCCTTCCCCCACCAAACCTCAAACTTGGGGCATCCAATGGCCAGACCTCCAAATTCAGTATGGATCACAAATGCCAGTGGAACCTTGTGAAGAAGAGACTAGTAGAGGGCCGGGATCTTCAGTGCTGGGGCATCGTCGACTTCAGTGCTGAGCCATCTCAGTCCTGGCAGGAGCCCCTCAATGGAAGGATGTTTGTTGAGAAGATTGTGAGGAAGTGTTGTGAGCTTGGTATCCGTATGAACTCTAATCCATGCTTCGTACACATATCAAAGATGGCTGTGCTCTCCGATCCGCATCGACTACAGGAGGAATTAAACAAAGCAAAACAAGCTGCAGTGAGCAAGAAGCAGAGGTTGCAGCTCCTTTTCTGCCCGATGTCCGAGCAGCATCCAGGGTACAAGACACTGAAGCTGATTTGTGATACACAGCTGGGGATCCTGACCCAGTGTCTCCTGAGCGATCGCGCAAACAAGCCAAATGGGCAGGACCAGTACATGACCAACCTTGCTCTCAAGATTAATGGCAAGCTTGGAGGCAGCAACGTTCAGCTGTTTGACTCACTCCCACGGGTCGGTGGTGGGGCACCTTTCATGTTCATCGGTGCTGACGTTAACCACCCGTCACCCGGGAACGTGGAGAGCCCATCAATCGCAGGCGTGGTTGCGTCTATCAACTCTGGTGTCAACAAGTACGTGGCAAGAATCCGTGCCCAGCCACACCGCTGCGAGGTGATCCAGCAGCTTGGTGAGATCTGCCTGGAGCTCATTGGAGTCTTTGAGAAGCTAAATCGCGTGAAACCGCAGAAGATCATCTACTTCCGTGACGGCGTGAGCGACGGCCAGTTCGACATGGTCCTGAACGAGGAGCTGGCTGACCTGGAGAAGGCGATCAAGGTGGACGGCTACGCGCCGACCATCACTGTGATCGTGGCCAAGAAGCGGCACCACACACGCCTGTTCCCCAAGGACCCCGGCCAGCCGCAGACGGAGAAAGGGAACGTGCCGCCTGGCACGGTGGTGGACACGGGCGTGGTGGACCCGTCTGCCTACGACTTCTACTTGTGCAGCCACACCGGGATTCTGGGAACCAGTAGGCCGACGCATTACTACAGCCTGGTGGACGAGCACGGTTTCGGGTCTGACGACCTGCAAAGCTGATCTACAACCTGTGCTTCGTGTTCGCGCGGTGCACCAAGCCGGTGTCGCTGGCGACGCCCGTCTACTACGCCGACCTCGTTGCGTACCGTGGCAGGGTCTACTACGAGGCCGCCATGATGGCGTCCCAGCGAGGGATGGGGTCGGCTTCTTCGGCATCCTCGACCTCCTCTGCTGGGACTTTTGACTTCACTAACTTCCCGAGGCTGCACAAGGACGTGGAGGACAACATGTTCTTCATCTGACACGGAGCAAACTCGGGTCGATTTTGCTATGTGGCAACATCGCATGGTTTTTATGCTGTTGCCTTTTTGCTGGTCGTGTCCTTTTGCATAGTGTCAGTGTGTTTGAAGTTGTTAGTTTTATACTGCAAGTCAGTGAAGGTTATGCTTAAAGACTTAAACAGTACGCGTCTTTCTTTTACTTTTGTGTGTGTGAGTGAAACAGTGATGATCTGGTGTAAATATGGTTCTGAGTTTTAACAAACTTTAGTACGCCGCAGTCTACAAATTTTTGCTGGATATACTGCATGATTGTAGATGAAGGAAAAGCAGCAGGTTTGAGCTCCGAAGGTAGTGCTGTGCTTGTTGCAGCACAACAGATATGGCATGTTCTAGCTGAACAGGGGGAGCCGCTCAACAGATATGGCTGGTTCCAGCTGAACAAGGGGAGCCGCTCACATGTACTGTCTGGGGCAGGGACAGGGCGTTGTGGTTTGGTTGACGGCTTCCAGGGTCTTTGTACCGTTGCGCGCAGAGAACAGCACACCCATGCAGATGCAGGCCATGTCGCATTTTTGGACCCTGGGAGAGAAGGCCCTCCAATTATCTATCTATCCGGAAAAGCCCCCTCACGCCATCTCCAATGCTCACCACGACCGACGCCTAGAAGACGGCGGGAACATCTCGACTTGAGCATGGCGTGATCTTCAGTTTGCAAAATCAAATTCCAAAGAACGGATGCCATTCGCCCTTCATTCTCAAAGATAGGCAGTCAGTTTAAAGTACGCAAGACATGGTTAGATTATTTCCTGTCAAGCAGGATTCCTGTCCAGATTCCGTTCCATCGGATTCAAGCGTTGCTTTATGCTTAGAAAAATTAAGCATCTGTTGCGCATGACACAGGCGAGGGTAAGGCTTGCCACTAACACCCTTCTCCAGACCCTGCACTGAGCGGGAGCTTCTCTGCACTGGGTACACCCTTTTGTTGCGCATGGCACCATACACTGACAGTCTGATACACAACAAAATCCCTCACTAGTTACAATGCCGTCCATGTACCGGGCGAGCAAAGCAAACTACTACCCTAGTATTTACAGATAGCCAATTACAGTATATACAAAGGCCCCGAAGGCCCTTTTAGGATGCAGAACTTAGCAAGGAGAGAAAGGAAAAAACATCCGATGGAATTCCGCTGTATACGACACGTGCTCTTTGAACTCAGGTGAACGGTAGCCTCCTACGTGCAGGGAAGGATGGCAGTGCGCCAGGCAGCTCAAAGAAAATCCCACACTGGTATTGACGACTGACCCTCATCGCCATTCTGATGATCAATTTGAGGGGTTGTCTCCACAAATTGCAATGCATGCATATCGCCAGTATATCCCTGAAGGAGTGTACAAATAATATAATTCATATTTCAGTAAATGTGGCAGTTAGGGTGCTAGGAGCAGATAACAAAATAGCAGATTTCCAGCACAATGTGCATTTATACTTTGGTCGCACGCCGTTACTCTACAGTGGGCAAGAACTTCAAATGCAAGGGGGGGGGATACAACATAGAGTTCTCTACGAATGCCAGTAATTATACAAACATGGAACTCACTTGGGTTAGTTGACCATTCCCAGTAAATGGCTGCTGTTGCAAGGTAGAAGCTGAGGAAGCCTGCATGCAGCACTAGCCTGAGGATCTCGATGCTTTATCGACATATGATGAGAAATTTACATTACAGACAAGCACAGACCTGACCGAACTGATTCAAATTGTCATGAAGGTTCTGTGAGCTACCTAGCCCAAAGTTGTGGCCAAGTACATAATGTCCCTGCATGATAAAAGCATCAGCTAATGTAACATTTTTCCAGACTAACAAGGGAGGATAGTAACGATTGCCATTCTGCTTAAGAATTCACCTGCATTAATTGATCTGGGATGAACTGGTTTGAATCATTACTTGGTTCTGATTGGAAACTTCCTGGTGCAATATTCAGCTCTCCTCTTGTTGGTCCATCATCTGTTGCATCAGGTTGCCCTTTGTTGATGACAATAAGCGAAAATATTAGTGTTCAGATTTACATGCAGAATGTCAAAGATAAAAATCCTTAAAAGGAATCTATATATACACACCTTTTCTTGCTTTCTTTCGCTTATTGGTTTCCAAATCATTTCTACGGCGAGCGACTTCACACTTCTTTCCAGTAGAACCTATACCTTCAAGGCCACTACTAAGTAGATAGTCATTCTGGGCCATGTGAGTTAATTGGTCTGTAAGGGAGTGGCCAGATGACTTGTCAGACAGTGTAGACAACAAAGTTCCTTCAACTTCTACAAGAAGGTTATCTGACTGGCTTGCCATTAGTGCAAATGTCTCTTCATTCTCTGCAGCCTTAGCAGCAATCTTGTAGAACAGACGGCAAAGAGCTGCATAACGTCCTGGAATGGAAGATTTTGTGTTGCTATCAAAATTAAACCCACCAGTTTCATCCATGGTCACCAACTTTGCATCTTTCCTCCACCTCTTCAGAAAGTACTGTGGGGGAATCTCTTTAACATTCCTCAGCTCATATACTTTTAATATATGGCAGCATAACAGCCCAGAATTTTCAAACTTTTTGCATGTACATACAACTGAAGCATCTGATGAGTCAAATCGCACAAGATGATCCTTAGTTTTGTTCTTGATAGTAATCATATATTCAGAAAGAGAGCCAAATTCCCCACAACCATAAGCCATGCAGTCCATACTTAGTTCACATTCCTTTCTAAATAATTCGAATATTGTTGGGGTATACAAATTGACAGCCTGCCATAGAAATGGCAGAGGTGTTCTCAGTACCCCTTGATTGGCTTGGTAATCAGCTTGAATCTCTTCTTGCCTTCTCTTCTCTGCTGAACTTTCAAAAAGATTCAAAAAAAGGGATAGATCTGTATCGTAACCCAAGTATTGTTTAAGCTTAGTGCCAACATTTTCTTCTTGTAGCAAGCTTTTAATCTCCCCAGAGAATATTTGTCGATTGTATGGCATGGCCCAGTTTTCCCGATCTTCATAAAGCCTAATTAACCATTCATTCTCTCTAAGGTTGTATTTTTCCATTATCATGTTCCATGTGTCAACGAACTCTTGTTCATCCTCAATATTAAAAACACAGTGTCTAAAATCATATGTGAATTCTTCAGAAGCACTAAACATATGTTCCAAGGACTTAACAGTGCTCTGGTATATTTGCCACACACAGGAACGGTGAACAGTACCAGGCCAAGTAAGACCCAGGGCTTCCTTCAAAGCTGAAGATCCATCAGTCAAAATTGTCTTTGGGTGTTTCCCACACATGGCATTCTTAAAGGTCTCAAGAAGCCACTTGAAAGACTCAACAGATTCATCGTATAAAAATGCCGCACCAAATATGATCATTTGCCGATGATGGTTCATACCTAGAAACAAAGCTAAAGGCCTGCTGCAATCATTTGCTTTGTGGATCATGTCTAAGCAGACTACATCACAGAAGTAGTGATAGTCCATGATTGACCTTGCATCAGCCCAGAAGACATTAGCCGCTTTGTCATTTTCATCCACCTGAATGGCATAGTAAAACGATGGATTATCACTCTTCATTCTTCGAAAATAATCCATCAGAGTTCTGAGATCCCCTGGTTTCATATCTTTTGTAGATTTGGACCGGAGATAATTCTTATACCCTGGAGGGATGTTACTAGCATTTTGGCTTCCAGGTCGAACTTTGCTCAACACTCTTTGCGATTTCAGCATCTCAATATCAAATGGTGCAGCAAGCTGGTGATTATGATCCTCCACAAATTCTGTTACACGATATTTACCACTAGGTGTCACCTTAATTGCTACCCGTGCAGGGCAACCCACCCTTGTCTCTGAGCGAGGTCCCTTGGTGTCATTCTTTGAGCGAAATCCCTCCCTAGAACAGACATAGACCCTTGACCTATTGGAATTTTTAGCAGTTTTCTCACACCATCCTTTTCGAACACTAAATCCCATATTTCCCGCATAACTAACATAATACGCATATGCTTTTTCTTCACTCTCAAAGACCATACCAACTATGGGTACTCCTCCAGCATTTGAGACGACTTCTGGTGGCAATTCTGGCTCTTCTTCTGCCTTTTCTTCTGGCTTATCTGCAGTCTGGGGAAATAAAAAGCTCTTACACAACAGAAGTTTGGATAACTAAGTATATATAAACTCATCTTTCGAACACAATGTTGAAATATATCATTAACATGATGTCTTCAGCACTAATCTCCACTTCTGATAGCTAACATTAGTCTCCACTTCAGCATTGGTACTTATCTACTAGACTACTACCTCATTTATGCAGTCAATATAGCTTGCACACTGAAGTAAACAAGCCAAAACATCAACATTTCTAACAGTAGAGCTGCTTTGTTAATAAAAAATTCTCTCTATTGATGGCATGGCAAAATTCACATAAAACTGGGCTAACTGTTTTTTATATTTCATATAAACTTTAGCCTATTTGTAATGTGCAACACCAAGTGGTTCCATTCTATAGGAACCGGATATCCCGGACTGTACCTGGGCGTCATCCTTGCCGAGGAACTTCCCTCCAGCACCCCTCCGCCGCCGGACTGCCAGAGCCTGCCTCGATGGAACCTGCAAGCAGCAGCAAAGAAACCTGTCAGCTTTAGCACGCTCTGCAATCCAATCTCCCCACTAAACTAAGTTCTCATAAAACAAATCGCACCTTACTGGCCGCGCGGTTGACGACCTGGCGGCCGCTCCGCTTCTGCATGTAGCGGAGGATGATATCCCGGCGCTCCTCGTGCGTGTAGCGGGAGACGCGGATGCCCAGCTCCCGGAGCAGCCGAAACGGATGGGACGAGGACGGCCCCGCCTTGGACCCATCAGTTTCGTCAGCGGTGGCATCCGTTTCCTTGTCGCCGGCCTTGGGCTGGTTCTTGGGAGCCGAACGGCGCTTCCTGGAACTGGAGAGGTCCAGGTAGGTGCGCACGATGTGGGAGATGCGGGATGTTGGGTGGCGACGCTGGGCTGGTCCTTGTGATGGGGCTGGGACTGGTTCGCCGCCGCCGGCGGGGTCGCCGGAGGTGGATGGGGTGGCCATGGTGGTGGACCAGTGGTGGGATCGGGAAGATGAAGCCTGAAGGATGAGCGGAGGGATGTGTGCATGACATGTGGGCCCATGAAATCAGTCCTTAAGGGGTATTACGTAGGACCCACCTGTCAACGAGAGTGTTCGTGTCAAAACTTCTATCTTCTCTATTTTTGCATTTCATTTTTCTTCCTTGTATATCACAATTCATTCACAGCCCTGGAAGAAAAAGCTCTAGTACATTACAAAGTTCACAAGTAATACTCATCATGTTCGCTTGATCGTATCAGTCATGATAAAGTATTTTTCTCTCACAATAAAACAACATCAGCCGGCTTATAAGCCACAGAAACGATCTATGCGAACATGGTGACTACCAGTGTAAGGCATCCCATGGATACGGTGAAAAATCTAGTTCAATAAAATGTCCTGTAATATAACCCAACAAAAAATCACAATCACATAGGAGTAGTTCATCGAATATCTCAGTACAGAACGAATGTTTCCGTGATCATATCCATTCCGCATACACTTGGCAGTTAGAACAACTGCAAAGAACAGTTCAAAAAAAAAAAGAACAACTGCAAAGAAGAGTTTTATACAGCTTTCTACAAAGGGAACTAGGGAAGGCACCTGAAGGCTCAAGAGATTTGCATCCGAATTTACTGCTGGAAGACTTGAATGTCAGGGTAGGAGTGAATGTATGCTAAATCAAACGGGCCAAATTTCTGGTAGCCATGAGATTTTTGCTTTTAAGTCACAGCTCCAAATTATTGAGAATGAACACCTCGAATTAAGGTGGCCTATATACAGACCTCTACAATGTGATCTTGAGAACCTATGAAAGGGCATCGTTTATTCCAACAGATTCTTCTCTGGAAACAAATGGCATGAAGCAAACATGATTAGCTGACCAAAATATTAGATTCCTTAACCGTAAGAGACATAGGAATGAACGAACCTGCTTGATTTAGAGAGAAAAAATACTGCTTCTGACAAATTCTCATGATTGGTTGCGATTAAGCATATTCTGGAAAGAAATGTACAAGTCTTTGTGTTCTGTTCCAAAAATCTCTTCTGCTTTTGACAGGGTGTCCTGCAGATATTAGTTAGTTTAGTAAAAAACATCACATGACATGTTTTCCAAGTTTCTGTCGTAATGAAAACAATGGTAGATTATGATACCTCTCGTGATTGTTTCTGAGCATTGAACTCCTTAATATTGGCCAAAAATGCTCCAAATTGCTCATAAGAAAGTCCTGTCCTGGGAGTTGTAGGCACAAACATTAAGAGAGAAGCAAACTAACCATTGCGGCAAAAGGTAACCAGAATAACAACTAACCGTGCTTGTCGGAAGAATTCCTTCCCATCTATACGTGGCCGCCCTGGAAACAGAAAAGAGTTAGTGTATGCATCTTTAGTAAGCTCCAATATATGTCACATTCACTGTCTTGAACCTGTGAACGAATGGCGTTGAGAGGTAGGTGCTGAATACTGATGACTTGATGATCCTTGCCATGATGAAAATGTCAATTGGCCCTCGGATTGAGTTTTTGTAGGAGAAGTCGGACCAGATAAGAACTTGGGAGAGGGTGGGCCAGTTGAATAAGCTCGGGGAGAACCACTAGAGGACGAAATCATAGGTGTTGAGCCAGGAGTTAATTTTGGAGGCATATATGATGTGATTGAGAACTTGTATCCTGGAAAAGTGTAAATTCTTTCAATGTAAGTAGCTGGGCTCAAAATATGTTAATACGTTGATCTAGTTTAGCTGACTTTTCTGTAGCGAGAGTGAATTACCTCCACCATGGATGGATTCAGTCATTGTGGATCTGCTGGAGGTATCTGAAGAAGTGTTACTGCTTGAAACTTCATCTATAGTCATAGAAAACAAAATGAAAGCATGTATCAGGCTATGGTTACGGCTATCGTTTAACAGAAAATGCTGTCAAAACTGTAAGGATGTTGAATGACACCTTTCCAAGACGAGACTCGAGCTGTCAAATTATCTTCTCTGTTGTGATCTTGACTGGTTTCAGACAGTTGCTGTGAAAATATGCCAACAAAATCATTTGCTCACACAAAAGTTCCCGCAGAAGAGAAGGCTTGAAAGGTAACAATAAATTTTGACTAAGAGTGAAAAAACGATTTGATCAATACAACTCACCAATAGATTATCTTCACTCAACGATTTCATCAATTGTTTCTTAAATGCCTCCAACTGCACAGAACGAACAATCTCTGGTAATTTGGGTAACTAGCGAAGTGCGTTTCTCATGTAGAATAGAAGTACAGTTTGACAAACTTCATGCTGGTTAGAATTCCTTGCCAGGCTCATACACATGACATCATACAAGGAAATGGCAAATACACGGACAAGCAATGTTCCAGTCAAAAACTTCACAGCCAATTATTATAGTTTTTGCAACACTATGCGTGAAACTGCAAAGTAAAGTAACTGACAGTAAAGCAGTAACCGAACCTGCCCTTATTTCTATGCTATTTATCTATTGAATCAGTTTCCACATTCTGGCTTGACAATCTGATATCCATAACATTGTGTTCAAAATTATTTATTACTGGAGGGCTTCTCTAAAATATCATCAATTTAATATGCTACAATCTCAACGTCTGCAATGAAAATATCTATTTTCCAACTATACGAAATCCTTAACTAAGACTGAAAGATATAAAAACACCTGCAGTGTCACAATTATGTACCCAGCCGAAGTTGAACCATCTGACTAAAGTAAAAATAATAATAAAAAAAACTACTGTGTTCTTCAAATCAAAGGCTGTAGTTCTTCCATCACAGTAAGTCAGTAATCATAAAACATAAGACATACTCTGCACTGCGATGACGACTACACTATAAACAAGGCTAGACACACGGGTATCATCCAAATTCATAGCAATCAAGTGTTTGTCCTATCTTTACCAAGTGTCCAAAATCATGGACTCATGGTCACGAAAAGCACATCTCTGACATACACAAGCAAACAACACTAAAAGAGGGGTGTCTGGTCAAAGTCACCAACAATTCCACTAATAACTGAACACTCTAAACACACCTCTAATCAAAATTTGCAGGCTTCACACAACAATCCATGCCAAAGCCAAAACTTGTAACCAGAATTGAGAGAATTCGCACTACAGATGGGCCTAGAAAGCTAGTACCTTTGCCAAATTCCTGGCCAGCCTTTTGGTCGTCGCGGCGAGCGAGTCCCTTTCCTTGGCCAGCTTCGCCTGCGCACCAAAGGATCAGAGCCAAACAAGCCCAATTACAAACCACAATTCTACGGGAAGAATTCCGGCAAAGGGAAAGGGAAGGGCGGGGACGGGGGGAGCTTACGTTCTCGTCGAGAGCGGCGGCCAGGCGCGCGTCGGAGTCGGCGAGGCGGGCGCGGAGTTCGGCCTCGGCGCGGTCGCGGTCGGCGAGGTCACGGCGGAGGCGCGCGGCGTCGGCCTCGAGGCGGGAGACGCGGGAGGCGATGGCCATGGAGGTGATCTTGCGCGCTACGTCCAGCTGCTCGTACGGGTTGGTGGGGATCACGGCCAGGATCTCGTCGGGAAGGTGGAAGTCCACGCCCGGCGCGGCCGCGGCCGCCGACGCCGATGCCTCGTGCCTCGCCATCGCCGCCGCCGCCGCCGGGGGACGATGGGCGGGTGCCGGGGTGGGTCACTTCTTGGTGGCGCTGGCGGTGGTCGCCGGCGTCGGGGAAGAACAGGGGTGGAAATTAAAGTTTTTTTTTTGGAAATTTTTCTTTACGGATACGGACGCGGGCATGTGGTTTGTGATGGGGATGAGTTTGCCTGGCTGTACACTGTTGGGTGTTCCATGTCATTTCCCCACTCATTTTTTCTCCTTTTCTTCCTTTGGATTTTCTTTGTACATCCTTCTGTTCCTACCCTCCGTATCTTGATGAGTTGGTAGGAGCTACACTTATTCGTCCCACGATCAAGAATGGCTAGCAATCTTTTTCTTATTTTAAAAAGATAAGGGCCGGCAGCCATGTCTCTGTTCGTTTGGGCTCGTTTGACTGATAAGCAATGATCAAAAATATTGTTGATTGATTTGATGTGAGAGAAAAATACTGTTCGTTAGCTGAAAAAGTACGGCTTATGAGACAAACAAGTCCAAGCGAACAGGGTGAATACTACTATACTATTATGGAAAAGAAAGAAATACAAGCAAAGCAGCACGGAGTACTACGCAAAGCTGTATTTTTTGTAATAATTTATAAAATACTTATTATAGCTACCAAATCCTCTTCTATTTTTTTTAGGCAACCCTTGAACTAAAAACCACATATTTGAGTACACAAAGAAAATCTTATTTATTCTCCAACCAACGTACGTATCAACATGTTGATGTGAATATGTGATGCGCTTTGGTGACTAAGTAGTTTCGTATAACCTCGTATTTAGCATTTTCTTCAACCTCCAAATGTCTATAGAAAGTGAAAAAAAATGAAATGACGTGGAAAGTTAGAGAAAGAGCAAGAATTGGCACTCCCAGGGAGTGACGGCCCATCTTCTGCTGGGCCAGCCTAGCATCAATCTCTGTGAGGAATCTCTGTGAGGAGTGAATGGCACTCTCAAGGAGTAACGGGCCAGGCCCAATTCGCGTCGCGCAGCCGCGGCCGCACAGCAGAGTGCGCAGTGAGACAGTCGAGTTCGGAGGCATTAGCAGTTTTAGCACCACCTCGCTGCTCTAGCTCTGTTGCAGTCTAGGGAGAAGCATAAAAGGAGGGCCAGGGCAGCTTTGATAAAGCAAGCAGCTGCGCGTTGCACACAAAGCGAACTATTCTTTCGCCTTTTACTAAAGAATACCGTGTGTGCGCCGCAAAAAGCAGCATACGCCAATTTTTGGAGGGGATTCTCCTTTTTGGAGGGCTCCCGCAATTCAAATAAAATTTGTTTTCTAAGTAAAGTAAAAGTTGTTACAATGAATGTGAAGTTTCAAAAGCTAAAATGTTAAAAAATAATATAAAAAAGGTTAAAAACTAAACATGAATAAAATAAAATTTAAAAATGTAAAGTTTAATAGTTTTCTGCAGTAATAATGTTTTTGTAATATCTTTAATGGTTGAGTGTCAAAAGTAAACGTATGCTATTCCTGCAGGATATGCTCGGTGAAGTTTGCAGTTCAAAACTGTATACAGGTCCAGAGTTTTAGGAGTTCAATTGCTTTCCTAAGCTATTATATAATATCCATAAATAATATTTGTAGTGGTGCAATCAAGAGTTTTCTCTCTGCCCAATTTATTCAACAAGGCAAAAATTATAGTCAATAAAAGTCACTACAATTTACTAAGTTCAATTATCACTTTATTCACCTTGACCTCTGTAAGACCACTAACCTTTTGTATCATAATACAGTTGTAGGAGAGATTATAACTTGAACTCTGGACTACTTTATGGTTGGTTCTTGCATCAGGAATAACTATACTGTGTGCTTGAGTGGCACAAACAGGACACAAAGAGCATACTCCATGTAAGTTGCTGTATGCAGCTGTATTTAAAATGACGTTTACACATGTGCAGGCAGGACATTGTTTTGATGTTCCTCATCACAAGTTATTCTGAAAAGTACTCTAAAAGATATGGGTATGATCGAAGATTGCAGTGAATTAATAAAGCCTTTTGCTGGATGGTATATAACTGCTAAATTATACATAGATTATCGCTGCGCAAGCATCTCAACTGATGATATGGAGCCGTGTCTATTCAGCTGGTGCATCTCTTCGTGGTCAAATTTAAGCATTCCATTTTGATCAAAATATCTCATTAGATTTAGTGCCATATCAGTAGCTAGGATTGTGCTGGTGTACACTGGTCCAATCCAGTGTAGGCGCAGCAACGCCGCGCTCCTGTTTCTAGTTGACAGTAGAACCTTTGTACATGCATCCTCCAATATTCCGAACGAAACAGGCCATTTGATTTCATTCACAACTGACGATTTACACTAGGAGAGGGGGGAAAAACAGACACAAGCAAAGGGAACCAATGGCACAAAACCAGAGGTGGTCTCAGTTGTTTTTGCCGTCTCTATTATCCCCTCCGGTTACCTCAGATTCCCGATCACTACAGGCTTCTGCTCCAACATCAGTCTGCAATGTTGATGCTGTCGAGATAGAACCCTGAAACAAAATGAAGCAATCAGAAGTCAAGGCATTTCAGCGACAAAATGAAGCAGCCCATTTTCTCAAAAGACAGAAGAACCCACGGAGATTTCCCGGCTAGTGTTGACATGGCCAAGTATCTGTGTCTTATATAAACAAAATAAATAAAATGGGGTTCAAGAAGATGAAGATTACCGTCGAACCGGAATGAGCAATAACGGCCCCCCTTCGCTTCCTCTCTTCCTTGGATCTCAGTGATTCCACCGGTGTGTACACCTGCAAGCCACCATGTCGTCGTCTAGTAAATTACCAAAATTGATAGCAAAATCAGCAGTCCGTCGCAGACACAGAACGCCACGGCGGGCGGACTTACCTCAGGCATCCCGATGAGGCGCATGAGCTCCGAGACGAGCCTTCGCTGATCCTCCGCGCGGCGCTCCCACTCCGCCGCCGCTCGCTCCATCGTCTCGGAGCGGCTCTCCATCTCCCGTTCCGTCCGCTCACGCGCCGCGCGGAGCCGCGCACGCCGCTCCCGAGCCTTCTCGAGCTCCTCCGCCAGCGACACCTCTGCCACCCCCGCCGCAACAGACACGCCGAACTGGGCCTTCACCGGCACCGGGAACAGCGGTGCCGGCGGCCGCAGTGAAGGCAAAGCCGCCGGCCTCGTCCCCGCCTTTGGATGAGCTTTGGGCTTTGGCGCAGCAGCAGCCTTCCCGACCACCACCGTGGACGCCGCCACGTTGGTGTCCCGCGGTTGTAGCGGCCGCCGGACCGCGGCGCCGGCAGCTACGGCCAGGCCACCGCATTTCGCCTCCATCCCAGTCAGCCTTAGGCTTCGAATGAATCTCAATTGGGAATGATTTGATTGATTGGTAAGGAAGGAAGGAGGCGTCGTTGATGACGATTTTATTTGTTGGGATTGGAATCTGGTGGGTTGCGGGATTCGAATTTGAACTAGCAAGGCAGGAGAGCGAGCGATGGGGGTGAAATAAACTGTCTAACGGCTAGTAACTTTGTCAGCGGAGTGGGGGGGAATGGACGGTTGTTATGCGCCTTCGAACATGGTTTACGGGATAGGCGGGTCTCGCAGTCAAGCAGTGCGGGTGCGTTGCTGCAGTGCCGGTGTTGGTGATGAGCTGACGACCAACTTTCGCTTGGATTTGGGGGCTTTTGACGATGTGCTCCGGCAACTGGTGTGTCACCTGGCGGGTTGGGCCGCTTTCGGGTTCGAATTGAATTTGTTCCCAAAGGTAAAAAAAAAGAAAAGAAAAAAAGAGAGAGTAGAGGAGCTCGTTTGATTTGGGGATGAAGTAGAACTGGAGTATACAGGACGGCGTAATTTAGTTTTTTAAACACGAAATGATTTCATGTCTTTGTTTAGTAGTGTCGGATGTATAAACTTTGACAGTATAGATTTGCGTATTGTGCACAAGGAATCAGGAGGGTATGTTCAGTGGAGTTTGCAATTCAAAACTTTATACTGATCGAGACTATGGTGTAAAATTTGCCGTACGCCTGTTGGCTGGCTTTTGGTCACCGCATATGTACACAAATTGGTATTCTGCCGCAGTGCAACAGTTGCGCTGACAAATGTGACAGAATACATGATTTGAAACTGATGAAAGTATTTTGCATAAAAACCACATGGCTTGTATAAAAAAAAATAGGTTCATGTAACCGATTACATGAATGTGCAGGCTAGGACGTTTGGTACACAGGTTCGACCTTTCGACGTGATCATGAGACTGATCCTAAATTGCACTAGACTACTAGAGTGTTAGCTTTGGATCTTTGTACACTGTTGACTTTGCCATCATATCCATCCCCATTGCTTCAAAAAACATACAATTGCTCTCCTTGGACTTGAGAGCCATTGTGAGACAGCTTTGCACAAATCATCGCTACACTAGACGTATCTGGGAGGGCATTGCAATTTGGTTAAGCAAGCTGCAGCTGCGACCTTCCGCCTGGGTGCCAGGAGACTCAGTATACACTTGGTGGGACAACATGGATCGTACACCTTCGACGGCGAGACAAGGTCTTCTCTCAATCATCATTCTCGTTTGTTGGGAGGTGTGGAACGGAAAGAAATGCAAGAATCTTCGAGCACAAGAAATCCACGACAGCGCGGCTTCTCCAAAAAATCAAGGATGAGGCGAGTCTATGGGCAATGGCAGGAGCAAAACACGTTTCTAACTTATTTTTGCACGCTTGATGTAAGCTGCTTCTGAGATGAGGGTTTTGGAGTTGTGGTTTCGTTTTGTACATTTCTGTATATGGTTGTACAGTGCCTTTCTTGGCTCCCTCTTTTTAATATAATAGGCAGCTCTCCTGCCGCCGGTTCCGTTTCAAAAAAAAATGAAACATGCACCACAAAACAGAGTAAATATATGTACTGTGACTTAAATTTGTATGACTGAGAACTCAAATGGGAACTGCCTGAGCTTATTTCTGATTCAAGCAAATATCAACCAATATATAGCTGTTCATACCAGGGGCTTGTTTAGATGCAAAAATTTTTGCAAAATGAGTATTGTAGCGTTTTCGTTGTTATTTGGCAAATAGTGTCCAATCATAGTCTAATTAGGCTTAAAAGATTCGTCTCGTGGATTTCGTCTAAACTGTGTAATTAGTTTTATTTTTTATTTATATTTAATGCTTCATGCATGCGTCCAAAGATTCGATGTGACGGGGAATGTGAAAAATTTTGCAAAATTTTTTGCAAACTAAACTGGACCCAGATAACTCAACTAAAGATGAACAAGTGACACCCTGGTCAGTGGGGATCCTGTTAGACTATACACAGACCACACTCTGAATCTATTGCCAACCCTGTTCACTTTACAGACCGCACACCAACAGTTCTGACTTTAAACTTGTACTGTGGCAGCTCATCTTCTTCTTCATCGTCGTCATCTTCGCTTGAATCGTCTTCAACTTTGTCCCATTTTGAGTAATCAAGGCCTGAGTGGCCCTTTGGTTTTGGGATGGCCTCCCATCCCTGGGGTTTTGAAGGCAGAGCGGATGGAACCTCAGCCTTTTGAGGTTCAATTGTAGGTTTTCTATCGAGAATCGGTCCAGTTGAAGGTTTGTTCTTGAGAGCCAGTTCAGTTGCAGGTTCGTCGGGCTTAGCGATAGAAGTCTGAGTCTTCTGACCTTTTGGAGGAAGTTCTTCCTTTTCTTCTTCAAGACAAAGAGACTCCTCTTCACACTCAGGAATTGGGGCTAGTGACTTCAAAACAGTACAACAGATGGGCAATAAAATAGGTCAGTTAAGTACACAAGGCACAATTAGGTGAGGATGTCAGGGAGGTGAACCAAAGTGAATTAACGAAGGGAGCGAAAACTAAAATCATACTAGCTGTGTCTTCAATCGTGCCTGCAGGTTCTGGTATACTTCATACGACGGATTTATCTCGATGAGCCTGTTGACATCAAATAGAGCTGACTGATAATCTTTCAGAGTAACGAGAGTCTGGGCACGTAACATCAGAGCTCCGGCATGCTCCGTATCCAACTCAAGGACAGATGTACACTCTTGTGCTGCCTGTACCAGATATCACAAATGGAGAATTTAGTGTTAGAAACAAAAATGATAATATAGAAAAGGGAACAATAAGTGATGCCATGATGCCTGCAGTACCAGATGATTCCAGAGGAATGCAGACTGCTATTTTCAGGGTCAATATAAATAATAACTATGGCCCCTTACTAGCTTTCATAGTCGATCATCCATTAATCATTTGGCCGTCCCTCAAATTTCAGGTGCCCAAATCAAGGGAATCATTTGAGTAGGGCCATTCATAAATTTCAGGTACCCAAATCAAGGGAATCATTTGAGTAGGGCCATTCATAAATTTCAGGTATCCAAGTCTTTTTTTTTTCCTCCAGATATCGTGCCTAGCATGTTTTCTAGTACTTTTGCTATTTTTGGTAAGGCAACAGCAAACAAAACATAAGCACTGCATCCTCTCAAGTCGATTCCAATCAATCTAATGGATTCAGTTGCGTCTTAGAACACAAATTTTACCAGCAACTGAGATAAATGCGGAGAGATCACCATAATAAGCAAAAGCTAGACTGAACATTAGAGGAGCTTGGACATAACAAATTAACAGTATCACTACCTGCACACGCCTAGTGTCACAAGTTCCCCTTAAAGAATGGAACCCATCCACAATCCAAATTGAGCATTCATACTGTTCCTTAAAGAATGGAACCCATCCACAGTCCAAATTGAGCATTCCAATTGTTGTACGACGACCAGAAAACACAATCTATCTATGAGATCAAAATCGCAGGAGCCCTGAACCCAGCAGCAAACAGGACATGGACACCTGTATGGCTGAAAAAAATCGATCCTTTGTACCAAAACTGACACTTGGGAAGCACCAAAAGGACGCCCCTCCCCCGCAGCCACCACCGAGGCGAAGTCAAATCGAAAGCAACAACGCAATCCGCCAAGGAAAGCAACCCAAACCCAGAGCAGAGGGAGCCAGGAGCGGGACCTTGTGGAAGTCGTGGAGCTTGAGGTAGCAGGCGGCGCGGTTGCTGTGGAGCGCGATGCGCTGCGCGGGGCCCCGCGCCGCCGCCAGCGCGGCGGAGTAGAGCTCCAGCGCCTCCCGGTGGCGGCCGCCCCGGTAGAGCCCGTGCGCCCTCTCCACCGCCTCCGCGCCCGCGGCAGCCCCCGCCATCGCCCGCGCGAAGAATCCGGGGACGAATGAATCGGAGATGGGATTTGGAATCCGGGGGGGATAATCACGAGGGGAGGAGTGAGATGAGACGACGACGGAGCGGAGGGCCGGAGGGGAGATTTTGAATGGGGGTGGTCGGGTGGATGCCTCTGGACAGTTGCGGGTTGTTGGGTTTTGCTGCCCGCGACCGCGCGAGGAACACGACTCCAGGCTCACCTGGGCCCGGGGGTTACCTTACCTGTACCAATTGACGGCCCCTTCTTTTCGTTAAGGTCTCGTTCGCTTCACTGAAAAAAAAAACAAATTTAAACATTATTTTGATTAATTTATTGTAAAAAAAATACTGTTTCGACTAAAAAAAACAAGCTGAAAAAGATGAATTATAAGAGAAACGAACATGGCTCCCTGGATGCCTTCTTATGCACAGGACAAATGTGTGTACAGATGTTTTGCATGTTTACTCTACTACTAGTATTTATTTTCACCGACAAGAAAAGTAACTTTGATTCACACAAAAGGTGTTTTTTATATAATTAAGGAGTGTGCACAGTGCACTATTTAAATCATGCGCGTTTTTTCTAGTGGTATGAACATATCTGACATGGATACGATCGCGTGCTTCTAAATTTATTGTATGAAGAAGTGTGTTATCTATCTATAGATGACATGGTCGTTGATAGTAGAGAAAACCTCCTATTTAGCATCGGAAGATGACGTAGTCTTTTATTTAACATCCAAAGATAAACCTTTTCCAATATTACATCAATAGCATCACTGTTATATTTGGCATCTAACACCGTCAACTGCGAGCAGAAAAAGCCATTTTAGTCTTGTTTCATGTGTACCACCTAGGCCTTATTTGGATGTGTATCCACCGCAATCCACATGTGTTGGAGTGAAATGGAATGTAATTTAATTTAATTACACCCCAATCTACTTCAACACACGTGGATTGAGATGAATACATGCGCATCCAAACAAGGCCTTAATATGTTATAATATATTTTATTACACCAATTTTTTATACAGTCCTATTTTTTCAGATTAAACATTTTTTTACCAATATGATTTTTTTGGCCCATGAATTTTTTTTAACATTAGCAATTTTTTGCATAGATTATTTATGGCGGTGCAATTTTATGCAGCTTGATGTACGTTTGGTACTTTGAAACAAATGATCATTGTCCATATAATTGTACTGCCATAAATAATTTGCGCAAAACAAAGTTGTACTGCCAAAAAAATATTCATGGTCTAAAAAAATTACTGTAAAAAATGTTCAATGTAAGAAAAGAGAAAGTTTATCTTTTGACACTAAATAATTAACCATACCATATTCCGATACTAAACAAGGAATTTTCTCTCGATAATAAGACATTGTGGGTTATTTCATTGGTGTTAAGATCCGATGATTTAATCTCAATGTTTTTCATCATAAAAATAGAGTATAATCACGTGTATTTACAGGTGTGAAGTGAACGTACCTAAACGTTACTGTGTTAACTAACTTATGTTTTGAGATAGAAGAGTGCATATTGTGGGTCTGTTGAGCTGCCATTGCTGCACCTGCTGCTGCAAGCTGTGGCTGCAATTTGTAGCAGCAAGCTGCAGCGAACACCCCCCTGGTCCCGTAGTCTCGGTTGTCACGGATGGACGGAAATGCTAGCTGTCGATGAGCGCGGTTGATCCTACCGTTTGTTGTTAGCTAACGGTCCTCAGCATGCTTAGCTGCTAACACTGATTGTGGTCTCCCCGTCACGAACCACCTTATCGATTAGCCCATGTGACTTCGTGCCACGGCGTGCTAGTGCTCTCTCTCTCTCTCTTTTAAAAAAAAGAAGGAAAAATCAATGACCTTAACAATCAAAAGGGGTGGGAAGACTTGCATGTGGATGCATGCACCACATTGCACAGCTAATATATATACCGTGATTCACACACTTGAATATATATCTCTGATATCAGACACCACGTCATATAGTATTTGTAGGGACAGTTCTGGAGGCTTTGTAGGGGCGGTTTGCTCAGCCGCCTCTACCTGAGTGCCTCTACAGATCATATATTTATAGGGGCGGTTCCCAGACCAATAGGAGGGCTGTATATTAAGCTGTATCTACAAATCAATTTTCACAAACCATAAAAAAGGCAATTTTTTTACTCCGAGGAGGTCCTCACCGGCAGTTTTTTCACAATTTTTGCACACTTTGCGTCGGCTAGGATTCGAACCTGCAACCTCTCCTTCGCACATAAACTCCTCTACCAGTACACCTCATGATTACTTGTGTCCACTATCCATTTTGTTCCTCACATATTATACAAAACTAAGCATAAATTGATTGTTTGAGGCCATAAACTAATTCAAATAAAAATTATCAACTACAAAGTTTTATAATTTTTCAAGATCTACAACTTTCATTTTGGTAGTTTCTCCGTCCGATGTCGCTTATAAAATTTGAATTACAAATTTGAGAAATTCGAACGTAGTTTTCCATGACAAGATGATTTTAAATGAGAAATTTATCAACTACAAAGTTTCATAACTTTTCAAGATCTACGACCTTCATTTTTTACTGTTCATCCATCCAAGGTCGTTTAAAAAATTAAAATTTCAAATTTTTGAAAATTCAAACGTAGTTTTTCTTGACAAGATGATTTCAAATCAAAAAGTTGTCAACTAGAAAGTTTCATAACTTTTCGAGATCTACAACTTTCATTTTGGTTGTTTCTCCATTCAAGGTCGTTTACAAAATTTAAATTTGAGTGCTTAATTTTTAATACTCGGTGTCTATTTGTAACGTAGTTTTCCTTGACAAAATGATTTCAAATTAAAAGGCTGTCAACTACAGAGTTTCATAACTTTTCAATATCTACAACTTTTATTTTGGTTGTTTCTTCATCCGAGGTAGTTTACAAAATTTAAATTTTAGTGCTTAATTTTTAATACTCGGTGTCTATTTGTAGGGGCTGTTCAATATTGAGCCACCCATACAAATTCGATTTATAGGTGCAGCTGGATATAGAGCCGTCCCTACAAATCGGGCAATTTATAAGGACGGCTGATAACACCAGCCGCCCTTACAAATCTATTTGTAAGAACGGCTCATTTGACAACCATTTATAGGGACAGCTCAATATAAAGCCGCTCCTGTAAAGAAAGGAAGACGTTGTCACAGATCGTTTTTTTTTTAGTAGTGAGAGGAGGGGGCGAGACAGGCGGTGAGGAAGAGGAACAAAACAGAAAGAGAAAGGCGTACGTGTGATGGAGCCGTGTGCCGGAACCGGAAAGGTCAACCGGACACGGTACGCCCATTCTCAGCAGGGAATACGACGATGACATACATACTAAGCACCTGCACCAGCCACGTGATGCATGCCGAATTCAACAGGTACATTACGTATCCCTTGGAACCTTCGTCGGGGGCCTACACTCTCCATTGCTGGTAGACGTGTCACGCGGCTACCAGCAAGCAAGGCGAGGCAGGCCTGGCGCCGGCCCCATTCTTGACGGGGGCGAGGACGAACCACCGCCACGGAAAGGAACGCTTGCCATCCATCGTACGCGACGCGACGTCCTAAAACCTCCTGCCATTTCAGAGTGCGTGTGCCTTCCAAAACAAATCTGCTGCCTCCACAAAAGCAAATTCCTCCGAAGATCATCCATGCATGTACATAGCTGTAACTGTATGCCACATGCATGCTCCGCCAGGGGGCCAGGCCTTCACGTTTTTGCGGCTAGCTGTCACCTGCCCTCATCGATGATGGAGGTGAAGAGCGGCGACGGGACCACGGGCGTCAGGTCCCCGGGCTCCGGGCTCGCCTGGACGCCGCCGCCGGAGGACGACGACTGCGGCTGCGTCGACGACGACCCCACCTGGCTGCTCGTGAAGCTGCCGCTGACGTCGGCCACCTTCACCTGCCACTCCGTGATGTAGCTCGGCTTCGCCACGTCCTCGGTCGTGTCGGCGTCCCCGGTGAGCATGGCCACCACCCTCGACATGGACGGCCGCTTGTGGGGCGAGCCCTGCGTGCAGTGGAGCGCCACGCGGATCACCCGCAGCACCTCGTACCCGTCGTACTCCGTCAGCTTCGGGTCCACGAACTCCAGCGGCCGCCCGTTCTCGTACAGTTCCCACACCTGAAACGTAGTACGATTTAACGATTTATTTAGGACGAAAGTACAGTCTCTCCACATTCTCTGATATCAAGAATTTCTAGTGACAAACGGGAGTTCAGCTTATGGTATAATCAACTTTCACTCTGATGATCTTACCCTTTCAAATATATAGGTCCTGTCTTCCTCCATCTTATTCTGATAGTTTGATTCACCAGCAACAATCTCCAACGCGACCACGCCAAACGCAAACACATCAACCTTCTCGGTCATATGCCCTCTCATGGCGTACTCAGGTGCGAGATAACCACTAGATGATACAGCCAAAGACAACCAAGAATTAACCAACTGCCATTAGCTCCATCACATTTGCTAATAATAATACACCATGCATTATACCCAAAGGCGAGATGAAAAATATACTTACAACGTGCCGGCAACTTTTGTGCTGACGTGAGTCTTTTTGTCATCGTAGAGCTTGGCAAGGCCAAAATCAGAGATCTTAGGGTTAAGATCGGCATCGATCAACACATTACTGGCCTTTATGTCCCTGTGCACAATGCGGACGGTCGACTCCTCATGGAGATAAGCTATACCTCTTGCTATGCCCAAACATATCTCAAATCGTGTTGGCCAGTCTAGATTCAAGCTTCCCTTTCCTGAATATGAAAGTTTAAACATATTGAATTTCTGCATTAGAGATGCACTCTGTCATACGAGAATGGGTGAAGTCATACCAAACAACGCATGATCGAGGCTTCCGTTCTCCAGGTACTCATAGACCAACAGCGGTGTCTTGCTCTCAAGGCAGCAGCCATACAACCTCACGAGGTTACGGTGCTGCACTTGAGAGATGATTTCTATTTCTGCAGCAAACTGCATCTTTCCCTGATTAGAGGATTGGGAGAGCTGCTTCACTGCCACCACTCTTCCATCACTCAACTTACCCTGCAAGAAAGTTGCACTTATATGCAAGGTATTCCATAACTCAGTGCAAGGTTTTGCTTCACTTGAAAAGCATCAGTGTATGGTAAATGTCATAGCGTGACTTTTCTGTCTCTATCCAGATCATCAGGAAGCAACATTTAAGCCTTCATAAGTTCACACATTGAACGCAAATCCAGTTCTATATATATACTAGATAACTAGAAAGACAAACCTTGTAAACTGATCCATATCCTCCTTCACCAAGTAGATTACTAGAAGAAAAGTTTTCTGTAGCTGACCTGAGCTCACTGTAACTGAAGACATTTGGCCTTCCAACTATTGTATACAATTCTGCAAGGTTCGAAATAGCTTGTTAGCTACTTTCTGTTTGCAGACAATCACACACTGTGATATTAGTATATCAAGTACCTTCTAGCTCTAACAATAGCTTTCTCCTTTTCTGACACCATAAGAAGATTCCGGCCAGTGCGATCAATGCAAAAACTGAAACACCAACTACAACTCCAACAATCACACCAGTTTTACGGCTGCTCTTGCTGTCTGCAGAACTACGCACTGTAGGGATGAAATCTGAAGAAGAGTTCAGTTAGTTGAGCATTGAAAACCTTATATAAAACAAAATTGAGAAGTAATACACAATATTTACAATTCCACCAAGTAATAAAGAGGATAATGTGCAATTTCAGCTCTTATCATGGGTGTTCTATGTTCTGCTTTTGGTTTGAAATGGCATAAATTCAACTCAATCTAGGCCCTCAACCGCCAACTTATAGTTATATATGCAGGTACAGCTGTACAACATCATAAGCATACCGTGCCGAAAAATTTCCATGTTCTAATTCTTCTATTAAAGATAACAGTTTTTTCATCCAAATTTAAAATTTCACATCATGTATACCACACTGACGAGTCTATTTTTTGTGACTACACTAGTATGCATTGATTGATACTTCAAAATGTCATTTGGGCAGTATAACTGCAATTTAGAACGAGTTTAAGTTCAGGTGAGTACTTGGAGTTGCACTCAGGGCTGATATTGCAGGACCATAGTATCCCTTATAAGGAATGCAACAAGTGCCCTTGCCAGCCCAGAAGAGATGAATCTCAAGGAAGTTTTTGGTTACTGGAACAACATACTGCTTCTTAACAGCAGTAAAAGATTTCCCTCCTGCTGCCTTTCTAATGTCAAAGTTCTGCTCCTTGCGCTCTCCCTAAACAAGCATGAAGTATCAAGCACAAAAGTCTATATCTAGAACAAATCATATGATTCAAAAGCATCAGATGCCAGCCAGATACAAGTTTGTAGCTACCTGGACATAGATATCGAAAACCCTCCTCCCTCTGCTTCTCCAAGACTGCATGTCTGGAAAGTCAACCTCTGCAAATTGAAGTGTGACTGTGTAATTTCCATTCTCAAGTCCAATGCCATAGTATCTCAGAGATGATGGTGACATCCTTGTTGTTTGGAACAGTGCAGAGTCTAGGGTGTTCTCGAACTGGCGTGAACTGTAGATGATGTAACTTCCATTGGGTGCATCTGCATCCAAGAATAGTCCCACGCTGCTAACACCCCATGTAGGTGCACCCGCAACGTAGTATGATGCGGCTCTAAGGTTGGCATTGTCAGCCTGATAGATGGAATTATCTGAACCTGATATTGCTCTACTACCACCAGAGTCCGCCGCAAGGGAGGCAGCTGCATCCAATTTATCAGAATAGTGTTTATGCAATTGCAGATCCAATATTACAAAATAGATACATGCTCGAAATTCCAAAGGGTTGAAGCATTACACTTTGGAGAACCGAGGAAACAGGGAGTGCTACGCTGAAGACAGTCCAATCCCCATGGCAAAACACTGCAGATGAAATGTTTTACTATTTTAAGTTCTGATTACAAGCTAAGGCGGGAACTTATTTTTATGCTAGCCTTGAGGACGAACTGGTGCTCACCTGTTATTGGAGCTATCCATCACAAAGTCGTTTGCCACCAAATTCCTTAGTACACAGTAGAACATATAGGGATAATTAGCTATTACTGTTGTATTCAATCAGGCAGGCTTTGTGTGCAATAACTAAGGAGTATATTTTCATGAGAGAAGTTTCAGAACACAAACATACAATTGCAAATTTTTCTCAGTAGCCCAAGAAGGAAAGTTTCCTGAGATATGGTTGTATGAAAAATCTCTGTGAAAAGGCGGAGAAAAAGGTAACTATTAGATCAATAACATATTTCATTGAGCACAATGCCAAAACAAAGAGCATGTGAACATACAGATTGGTCAGTAAGGGACTTTTTGTGGCAGGCAGACTTCCTGAAAGGCTATTATTCCCTAGAAATCTGATTCAAGTAGAATATTTGCACATATCAGCAGAAGGTTAACAAGAAAGAAAAAAAGATGTCCATTCAAACAAATTATGAAAACTGCAGCAAGTAAAACTTACAAATAACTAAGAGACAGAAGATTCAAAATTGATTGAGGAATTTGTCCTGTGATATTGTTGAAACTCAGGTCCCTGTGAGAAATAAGAAAAATAGCATTAGACAACAAAAGGAAAAACATCATCTCAAAGTTGAGCTATAACATAGATTTGTCACTTGATTGTGACTTTCTGACAAGGGAACCATGCTTACAATAAGTATAAATTTACAAATTTGGAGAAGTCTACTGATGCTAGTGTATCAGATATCTTCGTATTCCTCAGCACTCTGCAAGATGGAACCTTGAATAATTAAATGTTTAAGCTATTAAACTGAAAAAAATATGGAGGTCACATGTCGTACAGTTCACCCAAAGATGTCATGTTGCCAATGAATGCCAGTGGAGAGCTTCCATTCACTATATCGCCTATTCTTCTGTTACATTGAAACAATCAATGCCATGGTTATTATCTTTGCAACGATAATAATCCTACAATCACAGAAACTACTAGGGACTCACAATTTTTTTAAGTTGACAAGATTAGAAAGACTTGAGGGAATGGGGCCTTGAAAAGAATTCCCTTGGAGCCTCCTGTAAGTACATAGATATTTAATTAGAGAAGTAATACGTATGCTGGTTCCTCATGACAAATTAATTGTGCTATAAAATAACAGATGATGTAGGTAAATATGCAAAAAGCTTGCACTTCTCCAGAAAAATGAATGACTTTCCTTACTATTGATATCGAGAAAACAATTTCAAAAATATTGAAACCTTAGTGGTTTTCAGATATAAATCTTACAGTTGGGTCAAGTTAGTCAAACTCCCGAGATAATCAGGAATCTGCCCACTGAAATTATTGTCTGATGCCCACCTGGATACCAACAAGGATGGGTAAGATTATTAGCTTCTACCTCCGAAGGAAGAGCAAATTCACGAGGTGCTATCTTATTTTACTAAATTACAAGATTGACAGGTTCTTCAGTTGGGACAATGTCGATGGTAGAGGACCACTGAAGTCGTTACTATCAATGTATCTACAACACAAAGATGGATAGCATTTTTCAGTTATGTCATGCATAGAGCTACCAGTTTAGATAGTGAAGAAAGCATAGATGGTTATGTAAAACACATGTAAAGAGACCAAATAGACAACTCACATCTGTCGAAGTTTTGTCAGTTTCCCCAGCTCGTCAGGAAGTGTGCCGTTAAAATTATTTGAGCCCAATGCCCTGAAAGAATTAATTAATTAAACTAAGTTAGATCCAAAGAAATGTTCAAACGGAAGTACTGTTAAGTACTTTTTGACAATCGAAAATTCGAATGCTGGTAAATGTTTGATTGGGATGAATGCACATTCTTTTCCTCCAGATTCTCACTTCCACAATATTACATTAACTTTTTGAGAAAACGATATTATAAGATTATACTAAATATATGGCCATAGTATATGCAAAACTTCAAGCCCTTGGCATACAGCCTTGTGACTTTCATGCAATTGAAAAGCAAGTATAACCGGGACAACAGATGCATGACAGTAACTGAACATTAACATTGTCAGAGAATACCCATTTTTAAGACTACCCAGGATAATAACATGATTGGAGGATCTTACAGTGATAAGAGGTTGGTAAGATTTCCAAGCTCCTTTGGGACAGGTCCAGATAGTGCATTGATTCCCACAGTCCTTGTCATTTTCAAGGAAAATAAAGTAAGACTGATTGAACGCAGGAACTGCAGTGCTGTTTTGAGTTCAGAGTATTACATTGATTCCAGAGCAGTTAGCTCTCCTATGAATGCTGGTAGTGGCCCATAGAAGTAATTTTTCCTGAAGTCCCTGAAATGTTAAGAGTTAAGCAGCGTGATTGATTCTGAACTCAACACGAATTTGAAAAAACTTTATGCGCACTGCAGGTTTCGAGCCACCTTAAGCTTGAATTTTGGTATTTAATGCCTAAGGCAAAAGCGAACTTAACCAAACAAACATTATGAGTACAACAATACCCCAATTCTGAAAAGAGAGACATAAATGCGTAGCCATGGACACTGACCAAGGCACAAATCAGCAGGAAAAGAAATTGGCCAGTGTGATTGCGGCCGCTGAAGAGAAGCATAGGGGACACAAGTACACGGTACACGATGATGTGTTATACCACTATCCTAGGTTAGAATGAGCTTGGAACTGCAGGGACAGTGATTCCTTCATTTAAAAAATAAAATAAAATTTGCGGGGGCATCACAGTAGACTACCGAGCTTGAAGTCGGAACACGAGCGGAGCACTCCTCGTTTCTCCGGAAGGCAAGTGACACCCGGCCGTTTGCGCCGTCGAAGAGCACTGATATGCGCCCCGCGACGGCGGCGGCGGCCGGCGACCCCTCCGCCATTACGGGGGGCTGGGCTGGACACACACTGTGGAGCGGTAACGGCAGAGACTGGGGAAAGTTGTTTGCAACTTGCTAATGGGCTTGGCCCAACAAGATTTTTTTTGAAACTTTGGCCCAACAAGACTTCACTACAGGCGACAGCCGACGGCTACCCCGGCCCTGAGAAAACAAAGCTCTCTATACCGCAGAAAATTTGTCGGACTTTAACATGAAAAATCTCATGAACAAAGTTTGGCATTTCTATAGAAATAATCTCATGGCAAAAAAGGGACATTAGCAGTTGGCAAAAGAGCTACTCTATATAACTGGAGAGAAAAAAGAGTACACGGCTCAGACCTCAGAGACGAGTTTTAGGCAGGACAGGACATACAGCTTAACGAGGTGAGTGAGGTTCCGCAGCTCCTCTGGTATGGGGCCAACCGCGTCCAGCGTGTTTATCTTCCTGCATCACCACCATTGGAGGGGAAAGAGTTTTATGAGCATGTCCTTGTTCTGGAGAGAGAGATAGAGCAAGGGAGCAAGCATGGACAGTCGCAAGCAGCGCAGAAGTGGCAGCAGCTCTGACGGACACGGACTCACAGCCTGGTGACATGGCAGAGCGTGTTGTTGCGGTCGGAGCAGTCGCACTTGATGGCCGGGTTGAACGCCGGGTTGTCGTCGATGGACGTGTCGTCCGTCGCCGCGCCGCTGCAGGGGTTCCCGCTGATGTTCCAGGACGGCGGCGCGCTCAGCCCCAGCTTGCTCAGGATCGCGTTCACCGCCGCCGCTGTCCAGAGCCAAGAAGAACAACCATCAGTTAACAGAGCACAGCTCTGTCGAGTGAGATACATGCATACATACATACCTTCAACCGGATCAGTCTGGGGCGCCTGCTGAGCCTGCGCAGCCGCCATCCAAGAACTCGGAAGCAGCAGCAGCAAGAACAGCAGCACAGGGGAGAGGGAGACACAGCCATGGAGGAGACGGCAGCCGCTCAACCTGGGCTTCCTCATCTCTCCCTGCCTAGCTGCCCGGAGCTTGCCCGGCCCCTCTCTGCCTGCTCACTCTGCTGCTCCCTTTCGGATTTCTCTGAAACAAGTGGCGGATCGAATCGAACCGATCAGAGGAAATGGACAAAAGTGTCACAGAGCAGCTATATATGGAATCGTGCAATGATGATGACGCAGAGTAGGGCATAGCGTTAACCAATTTGCCTATATGAAATTGGCGCCACCACTGTGCTAGACTACTAGTAAATCGCAAAGCCGGCAGCTGCTCCTCTGGCAAGCTGGAGAAAGTCAGGGTACTGATCAAGCTTATTAGGTGGTGATTGCTGAATTAGCTGGTCATGGACTCATGGTGGGTGGTGTGGTTTCACATTGGGACTCATCATTGGATTGAACAGCTCAATTTTGATTTTTAAAGGA